CGATAAAGTTAATCTACAGTGTGTTCTGAGTAATTCCAATCAACACTCAGGTGGTGGGTTACGGACTGATTATCCAGACAATGTTTATGATTATTATGAAGTCGGTAAGTTATCGATGGTTTGCCGAATATGATTCAATGCACAGTAGAATCACTTTGCATGTAGACAAGCCAGCAGACTTTTTTTCGGCATTTTTTTTGTTACGAGTAGGCATCCATGCTATTTCAAGTCCTTATATAGAAAGTGTTCACGTCAGGGGCGATGCAAAATTAAAAATCATTTTTGGGCCAAAAACCCCCATTTTTGGGTTAAAATTTTAAAATAGTCCAATCCATTTGAGATGCGAATCAATTTACTGGTCTTGACGAGTAGAGATCAAAAATATATAATTTGACCTATTTTTGACCTTGCGTAACGTCACAATGACCGAAAATGTGAAAAGGTCAACATACTTTGCTACTCGTAGTTTACTGTTTTGTTTCCACGGAATATAAATTGATAATACAAGCTTCGATTTCATCACAGTGAATGAATATAAATCAATATTCATTTTCGCTTACTAGTGTTTTGGCATTATAATATCAATGAAATGTGATAAATAAATGAAGTCATTATTAATTTGAGAACTATTTTTGCAGTGGATCGTCCTAATCCTGTCGTCATAACACCGTTGCCAAGTGGTTCTCGCTGCAGATCTGGATGGTCTAGTTTTGGTAACAATTGCTACATGGTAATAACCACAGGTCAAAGTTGGAATGATGCAAAAGATACCTGTAGACGAGAAGGTGGTGATCTTGTTTCCATAGCGGACAAAAACGAAAATGACTACGTTCTCACACTTAGTCGTGCATGTAAGTAAACTCTCGGAATATTATCAGTTAGAATGTTATCACGTGTCATTCCGGATGCATAGTTCGTGATGGACGCCGCAAGGTAAAACATATACAATCTGATTGCTACCAAGTTGACTTAAATTTGCATATAATTAGAACGTTATTTTTAGTGACCACATTTCGGCTACCGTAAATACCCTTAGAAAGGTGTAACATTGCAATCATCAAATACTTTAACAACACAACTAGTGCCATTATCACCACTAGGAACGTCTTTATAATCGTTCCATTGGCCATAGAAATTGAGAAAATAATTATAGCAAAGTTAGTATTTTACTAGTTACTTTAGTAGTAACTAATCGCTGTAATACTTACCAAAATCAATACACATACTTGTCTTAGGGACGACGTCAAAAGATCGATGTCGGATAAAAAAACTTAATTCCTTTAGTTTTTTCCAAACCCCCTCACCCCCCATTAAAACTTAATATATAAATATTGGTCATGGCGTCAGACTACATTCACCATTAAATACAAATTGATAATCGGACAGTAGTATTGCATAGCAGTTGGTTGTCGGGTGGGTGTAAAAAGACTTTACAAATGCACCTCATTTGACGCAGATATTTACACTCGAACCAAGCCATTTTCTCGTCTTGGATGTTTTTTTTTCCTTTTCGGTTATTTCTGTCCATGATTGAAATACTCCAAGATTTTTTTGACTTCATTAAAAATTAAAATCGTTTTTGTAGGATGGAAACTTTTTGAGGTCAAAACCCCCCACCCCCAAACTAAAGCAAATAAGTTTTTTATCCGACATCGATCTTTTGACGTCGTCCCTTACTAACTTATTTTATATGGTGAATAGTCACGTGACACTGAACGCAATGTAACGCATGAACACAAAATCGTGCAGGATATTAATGACTCCAAAACACGTTGTTGATTGTCACATGCCACCACCCATAATTCTTTGTCGGAAATATTTGGGTATCGCATGAGTTAATGTTAAAGTGGACAATGAAACTTATTTGTGTGCAACCAACCAGATGTGAAAATACGTCTGTATTGCTTCTCATTATCTTAATTAATTTTCATGAACCTGTGAGAAATGCTATGATGACAGCGTATTGCCAATTTGATATTTCATGAATAATATATCCCCCATTTTGAGGGACTTTTGTCATGGCATTGTTGGGACAATTGTGCGTACAAAAACATCAGTACAGTGATGGTTGTGTTATTCTAATCGCGTATTTTACCTGCATATCAGTGATAGATATATTGCGGTCAACCTTTACTATTCAGAAGCATCTTTTCTCGGCTAAAAAGCAAAAGTAAATATCATAACACATCTCATTATATGATCTCATTAGTCAATCTGCGTTCACCTAATGTTATACTTTTACTCCGAAACGAGGATAACAGTCAACAGTTTAAAACCTGTTCTCGAAATGAAGATATGAAAGAAAAAGTACGTAAAAACACTGTGATAAGCATTCTTGTGTGTTACCTAAGATACTTTTTTAAACATTACGTTCACTTTCAACTCGGCGTCCAACGACACAATGAAGCCATCCCATACGTTATGCGGCCTTTCTTACTTTTATAGTCAAACAAACAATTAAGCACATATGTTTTATAACACATCACACGCAGAATTGCCGAAGGAACGTGCATAGATCGTCTGCCGTCTTCTTCCCGACGTCTGCTAGCGGTGTCCCGATTTCTTCACAAAACGATGTAAAGACGCTTCTAGAAAACGTCCTTCGTCTTTGGTGCATCTTTATTTGCTACTAGTGTGTCAAGTTCTTCTTCTGAACTAAAGCTAAATCGTCCAGTCTTTCGAGGCGGGCCAAAGATATTAGCGACCGAACTAGCAGACGACATATTGGAAATCACACGATCAGGTGACGAGTGACGTCATCCCCGGGCACTAGTTGACGTACTCTCCCTAGGGAACTAGAAATTTGCCTGGCGCTACTATGGTAATTTAGCAGATAACACGTGATCCTGTTTTGGCCAATTACAGTACAGTATCAACAAGTGATGTGTTATAAATGTTATTATTTCCCAGCTTGTGATGCCTGGTATAGCGATTCGACACCTGATTTTCTCGATTACCATTGGATAGCTGCACCTGGGGAGCATGTTGTTTTTGAAGTCATGGCAACTAACGATGCACATGTTGCTCTATCTGAAGACCAAAATGATGCTGGTGCTTTTTATGAGATAGTGATAGGCGGCTGGGACAACACACAGTCCGTTATCAGACGGTGCGCTCAGTGTGCCAATTTAGTAGAGGTCAGCACTCCTGGGATATTGGTTGCCAACAAGTGGAGAGGATTCTGGATAACTTGGCGTGATGGCATCATCAAAGTGGGAAAGGAAGACGAAAATGCGTTTATGGAATGGACTGACCCTTCTCCGTTGCCAGTAAACTATGCTGGTTATAGCACAGGACGGGGTAGCGAGGGGGAGTTCAAATTTTGCACCGTTAATACGCGTATGTATTCTATTTAATTGTATTGTATTTTTAGTCCACTTTCGGATTGACCTCTGTACGTGCATCTGTGCATCTGGGCATGCGTCCGGCTCTATATGTTAGACAGGCTTGGACTGATTACGTTAAAACTTCACACGTACATCATACATAGTAGTATACATATGCACATCAATGTGTTTCACGATCTGATTCAAGATGGGCAAATGGCGGCCATCAAAATCAAGCAACCCGGAACCGGATCGGCTGTTTTCATATGTTCAAACTTGGTACATTGTGTGACATTGACGCACGTGAATCTGTTTTTCAAATCAGATTCAAAATGGCTGACTGCCTGCTATAATGTTTTAATGAGTGCGGTTCTAGAGCCATATCTTCTGTTTGTTTTTTCCTCTCTTCTTCTCTCTATAATGATGTTATATTTATTCATTTAATGCAGTTGACAAACTTTGGATTGGTTTGCATGATCAATTGCAGCAGATGACATTTCAGTGGAGTGACATGTCCCCCGTTACATACACATTATGGTCTGCGAGCGAACCAAACAATTATCTTGGTCGATCAGAAGACTGCGTTCTTATGTATACTAATGTATGTTAAATATAACCTATTTATTATAAAAATTTTAGCATAATTTCCTCAAATATTTAAAATTTAATGCTTAAGATTTAATGAGTTTATTCTATATCATATATTGCTTCACATATTCAGGGTGACATGGTTGGTCGCTGGAACGATGAAGATTGTTTTGCATTAGTACCATCGGTTTGCAAAACTGCTAAAGAAGTGCTGCCACCAACTACACCTTCCACGGGTGATTGCTCGTCAGTAAGTTACCTCTAATCTCTAGTCTTTTTATTTTCGCAATTTTATTACACAGGATTTATTTTTCATTTCGCTCTGAGTTAATGATCGTGTTTCGCTAAATGGGTTAGTGTTCACTCGTTTGACGGTGCATTCTCTCGACAGGGGTGGGTAGGCTACCACACGTCATGCTATAAGTTCGAGTCCAATTCTAAAACAAATTGGAATTCTGCACAAGATATCTGTCAACAGTCCGGGTCAAGTCTGGTAACAGTTAATGATAAGTAAGTATATCTAAATTTAGCCATGGTCTGTGTTCATTATTTCGTAAGACTTCAACTTAAGTTGTTACGCTCTATTAAGAATGACAGTGGGTTAACCCGTTTGTTTTATATTGTCCTATTTTTTAGCTGGGAGCAAGCCTTCCTGTCATCTAGGTTGAGCTCAGATAGAAACAGTGGATTGTATTGGATTGGTTTATCAGATACTTACGAAGTCGGTACTTATACATGGGTTAGCAATGAGCCTGTTGAGTATACTAACTGGGCCCGTGGATATCCAGGTGGGTACTCAGTATGTATTGCGTCCGCGAGGTCAAAGATAATAATGAGGTTCTAAGAAAGTTGAAAATAATTTGTCTTTAATCGTATTTCAGAGGGTTCTCAGAATTGTGCCCCAGGATGGACGATGTTCCAAGACAGTTGTTTCTATTTGGGAGGTGCACAGGGGTCACAGTCGTGGTACGAGGCTAGCGATGAGTGCGCAGGTTTGGGTGGCCATCTTGCAGTCATTGACAGCAAGGCACTCAATGTAAGTATTAAAGAGTTTGGTTATCAATATTCAAGCTTATTTAAAAAAACACAGCCTATATAAGCATGCTGTAAGTGATGTGTACTAATGCTGCTTTGTTTTATCCCGATCCAGGATTTTTTACAGAATTTCGGTCTAACGTACTCGTGGATTGGCCTACACGATGTCAATAACGAAGGGAATTTCGAATGGGTCGATGGAACACAACTCAAAGGCGGAGCGTATAAGTGAGTCAAAAGCAAATAGCATGTTCACTTTTTAATACATTCATTTGTGTTAGTTCACTAGCACTTTATCCCATGCCATGCCAAATGGGTACTACAACAATATATGAATTTGTATTAAATACTTACCGATAATTATTATGATTGTGTGGAATCCTACTTTTGTAGAAACTGGGACAATGATCAACCTGACGACTGGCAAGAACCAATCTCTAATGAGGACTGTGTTGAAATGAGATCTTCTGGTAAATGGAATGATAAACATTGTTCTGAGGCGACTGTGTTGGATGGCTTTATTTGTCAGCTGGAAAATCGTAAGCCCAAATTTATCATTGCATTGCGCTTTTCAATGATTATTGTGACTGCATAAATATACGATTCGTACCAGTATGGTGAATATTGGAAGAATATAACACAGGATTGAATAGTAATCTAAATGCATATCAAATGTATTGGGTTCATATATGCATATTCAACTTAAATATGCTATTGTCGACTATGTACAGTAATTGACAATTGGTGTGGGTTTTTTTTTTTGATTGACTATCAGAGGCTTCCTGTACATCTGGGTGGTGGCCGCATGGAGGAGACTGTTTTCGTCTAGAAACTACAAAGGGACCTAAGAGCTGGTATCAATCAAGTGACGAATGCACTGGTTTGGGTGGACATTTAGCAGTAATAGATAGTCAGGAACTCAATGTAAATATACTTTATAATTATATGTATATGTAAATACGCGGGGTTGCGCCCAGGACTTAAGAGGGCGCCACCAATTAAAATACAGTTTTGTCAATCGAACCTCAGAGATTACGGTACACGAGTACAACTTACCGATCAGCGGGCAAAACCCCGGGGGCAGTTGATACATAGCTGGCTAGGGAGGTGCACCGGAGTGCTCAAAAGAGTGTGACCATTTTTATAACTGGATAGTGGCAAAAGCCATACCAATATTTATACCGAAGTACCATTTCTGTCATCACTGTTTATTCCACAAAAAAGGTACCGTATTTGCTCTATTAGAAGAACATCTCAAATAGAAGCACATGTTAGCCAACAGTTGCATTGTATATTGATTTATTAAAATATGTATTTTGACCATAGAAACGCTTCTGTCACTTATATAAGAGCATATTATTAACACAATATTCAGGTTATTTAGCGTTGTGTAGGACCACTTTGCTCATGCAATTGTGTCTAAAACAATAGTTGGGGTTAATAGTATGTATTAATAATTCACCGTGCATTTTTAGAGAACGAATAAGATTTCTCAACTTGAAGCATAGAACATATAGCCTTGTCAACGTATGCCATATTTTCGCACCAAACTTTTTTATAACAGGTCAATTACAATATGGTTACACTTTCTAGTTGCTTTTTCGTTTTTAGGATTTCCTCGCAGGATTGGCTAGCTCGAGTTTCTGGATCGGATTACATGACATCGATAACGAAGGGAATTTCCAGTGGGTAGATGGAACAGCACTTGATGGCGATGCGTATCAGTGAGTGAATATATCCATTAATTATTTGACAATGTAATTCATTTGATTAAATTAATTTCATTATATGTTCTAATTTTGTGTATACTAAAATGGATCTATCAGTACTACGAATAGTGTGTCATATAATTAATAGGAAGAACAATTAATTCACTAAATTATAGTTAAGGTACGTAATGGTTCCTCTTCGACAAATTCTGCTTGATGCCGGGATATTGCATTAAATTATTATTACACTGACTCCTACCAAGTAATCCTAAACGTAGAATACAGCCTATATGGCAGCACGCTATGCATTGGCGGATCCAGAAAATCGATAAGGTGGGCGCGCCTCCCCCTAAATCCGCGCGTGCAATGTGCATACATTCACGAATTAGAGTTGTATGTCAAACGTTTCGTATGTGCTTATTTTTTGTATTTATTGTGTGTTTACTTTCTAAAGATTATATGACAATGGGGGCATAATGTCAATGGTTAATATTTCGAGGGTAAACGATATTCATGTGTGTATGTGTTTACCCTTTGGTCATTAGCCTTGATTCAAACTCATTCAATCATACATATTTAATTTGTCTTTCAAAGAAACTGGGAAGACAATCAACCTGACGATTGGGGAGGAAACCACGGTGGTGAGGACTGCACCGAGATGAGACCGAATGGAAAATGGAATGACAAATCGTGCTCAGACATTGAGTACTTGGATGGTTTTATTTGCCAACGACCACAGTCACGTATGACATTTCTTTATTCTGCTAACAGGGTTCATCATAACAATGTTCTATGTATTGTTTTGAACACATTTCAGCCATGTGTTAGAGGAAAAACCCACAGCGATCATGCAAAGAGAAACGTTACAAGAGTTTCCTTGTTAGCATCATATATTTGAACTGTGGTGTTCAGGAATGCTAAAGCCAAATACTAACTTCAATGTTTGTATATAGTCTAAATGTGGCATACAACCACGGGATTCAAACAGACAAACAGCGTGGATTGTGTATTCCCGTGGATATCCATGTAGAGGTGTGTCTAAATACAAATCAAATTTCTGCGACTGTATGAACTTTTATTTATTGATACATTAGAAGATGGTTATGTGCCAGGCGCTTATTTCATACATTGAATACTTGAAATAAGTAATAAGTAATAATAAGTAATCAATATGTCTGCATGTTAAAAATTTCGTATACATATGTGATATGTCACGTGTGTATGTTTTAAGATCGAACTTTATGAAAAGATTTTAAATCGGTATAACTGTTTGGTATTTTCAGAGGGTTCATGTTCACACGGATGGAACAAATATCAAGACGGAAACTGTTACAAACTAGAAGCAGCACAGGGACCAAAGACCTGGTTCCAGGCCAGTGATGAATGCACTGGTTTGGGTGGACACCTCGTTGTTATTAGCAACAAAGCCATCAATGTAAGAGACTAATGTAGATTCATTCAAACTGACGTTTTTCAATATTATTTTGGTTTAATTTTCATTCCAATAAAATACTGCTTTCAAAGTAATGGAATGTAATATATCCATTCCTCCCGTTTAATCCGATTCAGGATTTCCTCCAAAGCTATGCCAGCACGTACTACTGGATTGGTCTACATGACGTCGATCACGAAGGGACTTTTCAGTGGGTTGATGGAACACCGCTCGATGATAATGCTTACAAGTGAGTAATAACATGTAATCGCATTTATGACAAACGCACAGAAAACCATTGGCTGGAACAGATGGTAACAAAAATATAATGTAGTAACTGTTGATGAAATACGATGTTCTGTGTTTTCTTAGAAACTGGGATGATGGGCAACCTGACGACTGGCAACTTTTTAATGGCGAAGATTGTGTTGAAATAAGACATAATAATGGAAAATGGAATGATAAAAAGTGTACGGAAACTATAACTTTGGAAAACTATATTTGTCAACGGGAAATGTGTGAGTTCACTAGATTTGTTTTTTGATAACGTGTGTGCATATCTCGGTGCTTTACGTTGCATGACAGGCAAATTATGATCTTTTCTATTGACAACTCATCTGAATAATGGTCATTACGGTGGTTAAAGAGAAAGCATGCACAACTCGACGCTGAGGGATCTCACGCCATGCGTGGTACCGAACGTAAACATTGACAAAGTGAATTTTCGGGACTTGTTTAGTGACTCGTTGTAAACTACGTAAATAAAAATGTCACCGTCCTCCCACCAATCAACTATGTGCACAGAAATGAAACTGCCCTCTTCAAGTTAAAAGCAGAAAAACCTCCCCGCCCACTAACCTAAACAATATTTTCCCGCCCGCCCGCAAAACCTCACTCGCACAGCTTTTTAAAGGATCAGCTTCATTGACTTCTTCTGACCTCTTATTGATTCTTGATAAAATGGCGAATAACTGCTCAACCTGACATACACATGTGAACACATTTACATTTATAGACGCAGTTGTCGGCGATTGTGTTGCCATGGCATCTGGTAGCGTCGCTACTGGTCTCTGGAGCGGAAATGGCTGCGGAGATCAGAATTCTTACATATGTGAGAAACTGAAAGACGGATACACACATCCACCGGGCCAAGGACACCATACTATTCCATCTAATAGAGATTGTGGTACCGGGTGGATAGGTTATGGATACAACTGCTTTATGGTAATCTAAAAATATCTTGTTCAATTTAATTTGAGCTAGTCAGTCAGTATATATTGTATTTTTGTCCATAGACTAGCGCATGCAAATCGCGCACTGACTTCGTTTATTACTTTGTAATGAAGCTAAGAATTCTGATTATAAGTTGTTATCTAATTTCAGCCGTATCGTAAACTTGGTGGTTATGACCAAAAGACTTGGAATGATGCCTTGCAGTATTGCCGTGATCAGGGTGGTGATCTGGCGAGTTTCCATAGTCAAGAGGAAATGGATTACCTCATACAGAACTCGTTGTTGGCGTGAGTAAAAGCGCGGTTGTCGTCGCGCAGTGCGTGTTCGAATTTCATGTAAATAAACAATGAATTTTACACGCGTTGTATACGTCGCTATGAGTCCCATATCGAACAGGATGCGGCACGACGACTGTCGCCATTTAAACAACGAGTCTATATTATGAATCATCTGCGACTAATCGGTATATTGTTATAGCTATATAATTGTGGTTGATTTTTACTTATTATTCGTACATTTCACAAATGTCATGTTGGCAGCCTTTAGCTTTACTGACGCCATATTGTATCTCTTTTCCCAGCGACGTATTTGATTCGTACTGGATTGGGTTGAATGACCTTGACATGGAGACAGGTAACGTTCTACTACATTCTTTTTTCGCTTTGTTTGTTTTCGATTACAAATTTGCGAGTAACCTGTCAACGAACGGTGCATATTTGCTGATGATAAAAATAAATTAATTTAGAATTTCTTTAAAAAAACATCTGTCGGTCAACTGCAGATTATAACATTATCAACGCTGTAAACGACATTACTTTCCCCCAGTTATGTCGCACAATTGCTGTGTTATTAGAGAGCGCTATATACTAGTAGTTTTGGGATTGATTTCATTTAAAAGTTGACAACACATTGATAAAATGATATCGGCGAATATTATGAGGTTATTACGAGGATACAGCAAAGTATGCACGAAGATAATACAGTGGGAGTATCGAACCACGCCCAGCGGTCGATTTACATATTTTTCTCCTAGAAATACATTATGGGAATGGCGAAATCCAAAACGTTTAGAACCGTGACCGATTTAACGAACTTCTTTGTGTGGGGTTCGGTCAAACCCTTGGGTCAGTCATATTTTTTATTATTAGAGGACACTTACGCGCGTAATCGTTCCATAATTGGAACTCGCGTTTCCTAATATGGTAGGATAAAAGGACTCAGTACAACACCACACAACTACGGCACGCTCTAACATATGGCGTTACGGTGACAGATGTATAATAATGTCATGTATGTATATCTATACTGTAAATTCTTTCTAATCAAATGCCAAAAAAAAATCCTGTAAAAATGAAGTATAGCTTATTACCAATAAACTTCTAGGCTTCAAATGGAGTGATGGTACGGCTGTTAGCTATACGAATTGGGGAAATTCAGAACCAAATGATCAGGGAAACGAAGACTGTGTTGAAATGTTTGCTGATGGATTATTAAACGATTGGTGGAATGATCTTGATTGCGACAGAGCCAGAAATTGGATATGCAAGAACCCGAAAAGTACGTTCTTAAAAGTTACCGAATTATTTGACAATGACACAGTTTGTCTAGTGTACAGTGAGTGGCATGTCCGTATAAGCACTT